GTTGAACCGCTGATGTCACATGGATTATTTTACCGATCTCCTTGCTACGTTTCTGGACCTTGATCGTGGTAATTACATTGCTGTCTATGGGAGGGTCAGAGAGCTCTCAGAATTCATCAAACATATCTTAATTTGTGTTCCGAAGATGAACGGAGGTCTTACGGGTTTGGAACGACATGGGGGTGAGTAATTAATGACAGAATTTTCATTTTTGGGTGAACTAACCCTTTAAAAGATTTAATCCACAGTTTTTGGGTTTTGGGTGTTTTCTTTCCACTAGTTTGAAAGAAAGACATGTTATGAAAGCAAAATCGACCAAAATGGCCCAGTGCATGAAAACACACTGGATGAAAGCGTGACAGTGCAGTGAAGCTGATGGGATGGGATCAGAGCTGCGTTTTATTGTTCATGTTAGACAGCACAATAGATGAATGTCCATGTATTTTGTGTCTTGAGTTGATCAGATGACATTGTCAAGCGGTTTGTCGTGACGTGTGTGCAGATGCTCAGAATGAGGAAATTAAATGTTGGATTATTGTCATTTTCACCTGGAGTTCACATGAGCGTGTTTGTCAGGAATTATGCAGAATGTAGGTTATGCAGAGAGTGTGTGTGTGTGTGTGTGGCGGAGATTACAGGCCGTGAGAGAGATCAGCAGACTCGAGTGTGTGCGGCTGCTGTATGTTCTGCTTCTCAACATGATTGCATGGAGATGAAGTGAAACACAAACATGATTATATTTCTGCTTGACTGAAGTGGATTTGAGTGGTTTTGACTGACTATGCTTTGGGCAGCTTCTTTAATCATGACACACAAATGACCTTTACGTCAAAATACACTATAATAGAGAGGAAAATGTTTCTTTTATGTTGACAAGCATCTGTAGATTTGCTGAACAAACAGGTCTGACACTCGAGCAGGTGTGATTAAGAGATTTTTCTCACATTGTTTTTGTCCATCCATTGAAAGAGCACAAAACCAAAACTTACAAGCATCAAAATGTTCATAAAGACATTGTAAAAGTAATCCACATGAATCAATAGGCCAGTCTGCAAATGACTTAAAATCAGTTTGATCAAATGTAAGACCATAAAATGTCTTAAATATCTTAAATGGTACAACAGAAGTCTTATTTATTATTTTTGGTGGTCTTAAATTCTGAGAAAAATAGAAATCGCAATTCAGCCTAATATAATAATTAAAGTTCTAAAGGCGATAATTTCATTAAATATTTTTTAAAAATGTACTGTAAAATATTATTAACATTATTTAGGAAAAATAATGTTATTTTAAGATGCGCTTGTAAAATGACAGTACTAATGTTTTTTCTTAATTTCTTTATTTTCATTTTCAAATGTTAAACCATCAAACTTTTATTTTGACACAAAACTGTTGACGCATTCCAGAAAACGTTCCATAATCCAGAAAAAAAAAGGATTATGATCTGATTTTATTTATTTATTAATTAATTGTGCAGCCCTATAAAGGAATCTGAAATAATTGAATTATTTCACAATTGTATGGGTTTGTTCTGTATGGATATACAATATGATAGTCATTTTATTTGTGCAGAAATTATATGATTTTAAAAACTCCATCACTTACTGAATTTTAGACATTTACGGATAATTCGATATGCTTTGTTATTTTGGGAGGTAAACACATAAGATATCTGGACTGTTGTGCTCCTCTATTTGAGAAACTTTTCCCACAGTAAAAAGTTAAAAGCAGAGAAAATGTCAGAAAATACATTTTGAAGCATCACAATGAAATGAGACGGAGAGACAAGACACTGAGTGTCCCGTGGAATAATTCATGGATATTGATCATTAGTCATGTGAGCAGAATGAAACGAACAACCACACCAACACAGCGCTTGAATAAAAAACAGCCTTCACGTGTTTGTCAGTGACAGAGATAATGCCAAGAACAAAAAAACCTGATCACGAGCAACAAATATAAGCATGCAAATGAAGTGAAGCACTTGAACAGATCATGATACAAGACGCTCAAAACACATGGAGATTCTTACTAACATAAAGGGAAAATAACAGGTTAGTTTGGAAACAACTGCAGCTATATTTGCACGTGCAGCATGAGGGTCTACTCTAAGTGTGAGTAAACGAGTATATCTGAGTCGTGTTATGACGGATGAGCTCAGGGCTATTTTAGTGATGTGTGCTGTGATCTAATCCTGTGTGTGTGTGTGTGTGTCTGTGTGTTTTTCTATTCTGGTGGGGACTTAAACCTGAATACACACAGACTCATGGGGACTTGTGTCACGGTGGGGACCTAAATTGATAAACAAGCTAATAAATCACACAGAATTAAGTTTTTTGAAAATCTAAAAATGCACAAAGTTTCCTGTAAGGGGTAGGTTTAGGTGTAGGGCAATAGAAAATACAGTTTGTACAGTATAAAAACCATTACGCCTATGGAGAGTCCCCACAAGGATAGCAAACCAGACGTGTGTGTGTGTCGCACTTGTGTCGCGCCGCATAACTCACCCAAATAAACCCACTGCCATCTGTGTCACATGTTCAGCCTCTGACGGCGACGCATGCTTCTGTTTGTGTGTTTCAGGTTTGGGTCTCCTCAGAATACGTCATCGTTCAGCTCTCTAGCGGGTTCGAGTATGGCGGCGCCGTCGTTCGGGAGTCTGGCGCAGCAGCAGCCACCGCCGCCGTCGGGATTCGGCACTCAGAGCGGCGCTTTCTCCGGCTTCGGCTCGTCTGGAGGTGAGACCACGCGTCTCTTTCACACCGACAGCGGTCAGGAGTTCACAGGCCCTCGGCATCAAATGCTGCTGTTATTCTGCTTCCCCTTACAGCCGCAGCAGGAGAACGTGCTGCGTTTGGCTGGTTCACTGTAATCAAACACCAGTTTCATTCAAACTACATTTTGTAGCAGTTTGTTTCTTTTCTTGTGGAGCTTGAGTCTCTGAACTAGAAATCTGGATGATCACATGCTTTAGCATTTTACCTGATAATCTTGCATTACACACAACTTTGGCCAAAAGTTTGACATGCTCATTAATTTAAATATTAATTAGGTTGGCTTGAGAAAGCCTATAACGCGAAATGTGTAGAGACCGTTATAAGCCAACCTACTGATATTTTATTTAAGCTTATTATTATTATTATATATTATTCTGAGACTAAATTTGTAACTGCATCTCCTCCTTTCGAGCTACATCCATCAAACCCAGCCCAGACCTTCAGACTGCAACAATCTCTAGCAACTATCCAGAACAACCTAGCAGCTGCCTAGCAACACCCTAGAAACCACCCAGAAGACCCTAGACACCTAGCAACCACCCCAAGTACCTTAGCAACCACATAGCAACTTCCTAGCAATCACCCCAAGTACCCTAGAAACCGCATAGCAACACCCTAGCAACCACTCATTTAAGCTTCCTAACAAATATTTTTAAATCTATCTAAAGTGGGTATAGAAAGAATCACCCCACTTTAAAATAATCACATTTTGTTGCTTTGCAGCCTGAAATGAAGACGGACACATTTTTGTACGTAAACTGTCTGTCTTCATTTCAGGCTGCAAAGTAACAAAATGTGATTATTTTAAAGGGGGGTGATTCTTTTCTATACCCACTGTATCTATCATCTGACCATATCTATCCATCCATCTAAACTTTCAAAGTTTAAACTGTTTCAAACTTCAAGCTAAACCTAAAGTTTGTCTTGAGAAATTTTTATCTAGTTTCATGATTTGAATACAACCAAGGTCAGATTTCATTGTCAAATAATACTCATATTTTCATTTTAGTTTTGATAATTTTGTCAGTTTTTTTTTTTTTTTTTTACTTTTTTCCATGTTTTTTTTTTTTTTTCGGTTGTTTTCTAAGGCAACATTTCTAATTTTAGTTTTTGTGATTTTTATGTGCCGTTTTCAATTTTAAGCTTTTCTTTTAAGCTTTTTTTTTTTTTAGTTTTAGTAATTTTAGTACTTAAACTTACACTTAATTAAAAATACTTAATGTGTCTAGTGTGCTTTTGTAAATAAATTAATAATAATAATTCTCATTATTATTTAGCTTAAAAAAAAAATCTTTTCTAGTTGGGAAAGCAATGTTTCTCATTTTAGTTTGTAATTTTGTGCTTTTTCTTTAACAAAATTATATATATACTGTATATAATTTAAGTAATTTGAGTACTTTAACCAAAAGGCAGCATTACTAATTTTCTAAATGTAGTTGTTAATGTAATATTTATATTTTATTCAGCTTTATTTCATTTAATGACAACCCTTTTTCAATCGTTTTAATTCTAATTATAGTTTGAGTTACCAATAACAACACTGGTTTTGAGATTTTTGAAGTGCTAAATAGTGTCGTTCAGTGCAGGTTCTGTTTCTCATGAGCTCCTATCTCTGCTGCGCTCGCATTCTCTGCATCTCCTGTGATAAATCACCAAAGTCAGACTCGAGTGCTGCTCGCTGTGTGTCACACGTTACCTAGTTACAGTGATAAACCCACTCCAGACCTCTTTACCACTTTACCTTCACCTGTCATTGCTGATGAAGTCTGACTCTCTGATTATGTCTGTAGGTTTTGGAGGTTTTGGGAACACTAACACTAACGCCAACCAGTAAGTGTTTCGTCATTCACGTTCATTCACACACATCCGTCAGAGTTCTGCTCACACATTCATGTCTCTGATGTTTTTCCAGACCCTCGTCTCAGACGTTCAACAGTTGGAGGAGTTGATCTGCGGACACTGACGTCATCTGATCTGATCTGCTGTGATTTTATAGTGCACGCAGGATTGAATGTGCCATGAGGTTCATGTTCTTAACATGTGCTGATGTCCTCCTGTTTTATGTTCAGTGTGTTTGTTCTGTTTTAACTGCACAATGTGAAATAAACTCAAGCGCTGTTGACTGTACTTTTCATTTCTGTGCTTTACTGTCACACTGTAAAAAATATTCAGGCAATATTTAGGCCTCTATTTGAAATTCATGTATTTCAATGGCATAAAAGACTAATAAAATTTATGTGATGCATATTTTTTTACTCGTGTATAAATGAAATGGGTCAGATTTCTGCACTCAAAAAGTAATTGCATTAATTATTTCCATCTATTTGATTTGATTTAAATAATTAAATTCCCAAAATGCTTTTAATTCAAATTGCTTAGAATCAGCATAAATCTGTTCATTGTGAAAACAATTACATTTATTCAGCTAAAAAGTAAGGTAACACTTTATTTTAAGGACCAATTCTTACTGTTAACTAGTTGCTTATTAGCATGCATATTAATAGCATATTGGCTGTTTATTAGTACTTATACAGCACAAAATTAGTGCCTTATTCTGCATGACCATATTCTAGATCCATTAATTTTACGCCATACCTAAACTTAACTGCCTTACTATTAATAAGCAGCACATTAGGAGTTTGAGGCAAAAGGCTTAGTTAATAGTGAGAATTGGACTTTAAATAAAGTGTGACCAAAAGTACGAACATGGTTAAAATGTGACTAGCTGTCGAACAAGCAATGTTCAGTTAGTATGAGATTGCAGACGCTTTTATCCAAAACGGGGAATACATAAAGCGATTCTTCTTAAAGAGGCAAACAGTCACAGGAAGTGCTCGCAATACCAAGTTTTAGGCATTGTTCAAATAAGTACAAGCTAGAAAGGGAAGGAATAAATAAAGATAATTTTTTTAAAAATTTAGGATGAAGTCAAGTAGCGTCGAAAGAGATGAGTTTTCAGCCATCGCTTGAAAATTGTCAGGGATTCAGCATTCCGGATAGGGGTGGGAAGATCATTCCACCAGCCAGGAACGGTGAACGAGAATGTGCTGGAAAGTGATTTTGAGCCTCTCTGTGATGGTACCACGAGGCGTCGCTCACTAGCGGATCTCAGGCTTCTGGAGGGGATGTAGATTCGTAGTAGTGAGTGGAAGTAGGCGGGTGCTGAGCTTGTGGCTGTTCTATGTGCAAGCATCAATGTCTTGAACTTGATGCGAGCCTCAACCGGCAGCCAGTGCAGGGAGATAAAGAGAGGTGTAACATGGGCTCTTTTGGGCTCGTTGAAGACCAGTCCTGCCGCTGCATTCTGAATCATGTGAAGAGGTTCGTTGTGCTTGATGGAAGTCCAGCCAGAAGAGCATTTCCACTCTTTCTCTGCTATAGGACAGGACTATAAACTTGTTAAATCATCTAAACCAGTGATCCTCAAATCTGGCTCGCGAGATCCACTTTCCTGCAGAGTTTAGCTCCAACCAGCACAAAATTAGTGCCTTATTCTGCATGACCATATTCTAGATCCATTAATTTTACGCCATACCTAAACTTAACTGCCTTACTATTAATAAGCAGCACATTAGGAGTTTGAGGCAAAAGGCTTAGTTAATAGTGAGAATTGGACTTTAAATAAAGTGTGACCAAAAGTACGAACATGGTTAAAATGTGACTAGCTGTCGAACAAGCAATGTTCAGTTAGTATGAGATTGCAGACGCTTTTATCCAAAACGGGGAATACATAAAGCGATTCTTCTTAAAGAGGCAAACAGTCACAGGAAGTGCTCGCAATACCAAGTTTTAGGCATTGTTCAAATAAGTACAAGCTAGAAAGGGAAGGAATAAATAAAGATAATTTTTTTAAAAATTTAGGATGAAGTCAAGTAGCGTCGAAAGAGATGAGTTGTGTTGTTCAGGAGGCAGACACACTCAGTCAGTTTAAATCTAGATTAAAAACCCATCTCTTTAACCTGACGTACACATAATACACTATCGCATTTCTATAATTCAAATCCGTTAAAGGATTGTTAGGCTGCATTGATTAGGTCAGCCGGAACCGGGAACACTTCCCATAACACACGATATACTCGCATCTACACTAATTTTAGTCTCTTTCATTCTTATTCTGAGGTCACCCTAGCCGTACGGATCCAGTATGTATCCAGACCAGATGGTGGATCAGCACCTAGAGATGACCTCTACAGCCCCGAATGTCAGCAGAGACCATGTCAACTAGACGAACTCTAGAGACAGATCCCCTGTGAAGACCTTGTCGGCCACCGGCACAAGACCACAAGAACCAGACGAGTCCTCTGCACAATCTGACTGTGTTGCAGTCTGGAATTAAACCACACCATGAGAACTGGCTCCCCGACTGAGCCTGGTTTCTCAAGGTTTTTTTTTTTTTGTCTCCATGTCTGTCACCAATGGAGTTTTGGTTCCTTGCCACTGTCGCCTTCGGCTTGCTTTGTTGGGGACACAATTTCTGGCAGTTTTGTTGACTTGATTGCACAGATTCTATTGGAAGAGAACTGAACTGAGCTGGACAATGACATCACTGAATCAACGATGAACTGACTTTAACTGATAAGTGGACTGTGTTCTATTGTCCTTTTGCATTATCAGCACACGTTTTTTTCTGTTTAACACTGTAAAACTGCTTTGACGCAATCTGTATTGTATAAAGCGCTATATAAAGGTGACTTGACTTTACATGAAAATATATATAAACCTGGTTAATGTGCACTTTAAACACATTCAGTTTATTAGTACTATTACAGAAATCTGATCTGTTCTTTTATGTGTGACTGACAAATATTCATTGCATTAAGTTTATTAGTTTGTTAAAACTGCAATCCAAATGCATGGACATTTTAAATGCAATTAAAATACATAAATCTTAATTTTAGGCCTTAATATTTGTCGTTCATTCCTGACGTGATTTATTTCCTAATGAGATGATAAATTGTGTGTGTGTGTGTGTGTACTGGTTTATATATCCTGGTGGGGACTTAAACCTGACTACACACAGACTCATGGGGACTCGTGTCACGGTGGGGACCTAAATTGTGGTCCCCACGGGTACAAAATCTTATAAATCATACAGAATTAAGTTTTTTGAAAATCTAAAAATGCAGAAAGTTTCCTGTGAGGGGTAGGTTTAGGGGTAGGGTTGGTGTAGGGCAATAGAATATACGGTCTGTACAGTATAAAAACCATTACGCCTATGGAGAGTCCCCACAAGGATAGCAAACCAGACATGTGTGTGTGTGTCAGTCAGTCAGGCTCTTATCATCACAGTAGTGTCTCTTCAAATGCCTCGAGTGCTTCCAGATCCAGATTCTTCTATAAGAGATTCTGAACAAAAAAAAAACTGAGTTTGCAGAAACTACACTTAAACTTACCCGAGTAACCACTGAAACCGGTTAAGATGCGCCGCGTATCGAGCGCATTGTCCTTTGACCCTGCGATACATCATGATATTTCATTTTGACCAGCATCTTCCTGTAGTTCCTCAGGCATTAGAGGAGGTTTTGTTTTTCCACATAAGCATCTGGCGTCTGTCTGTTTAATATCTTATAGATTGTGTTTATAGAATGAGACAGGTGCAGGAGAGGCGCGTGTAAATATAGCAGTGAATGCAGACGAATGCATCTGTAGCTCTGTGAGCGTCTGCTCTTCAGTCGCTGTGCACTAGTTTGTATTTTCATCTTGTCTGCAGATGATCAGAGTTTGGTGTCTAGAGATCAATCCCATCATGCCGCTGGAGTGTCTGCGCTCTGGGATCGAGTCTGTTAATCTCTCAGTCTCTCGGCTGCTTTAGTTTAAGCCTCGTCTTCAACCACGGATAATGGGATAATACGCTCCATTATCAAACACGCTTAAATCCACGGGAGACTATGATGAAACCAGCTGCAGATACACATGATCTAAACCCGCCACAGTCTGCAGTTCATCTGCGCACAATAAGAATACAGGAAGATCTTACGCCAAAATGACACTGTAATACATCAAGGCCAATTGCTTTAAAATACATTTACACTATTGGTTCGGTAAGATTTGCATCATTAGGCCTACTCCAGTCTTCAGTGTCACGTGATCCTTCAGAATTCATTCTACCCAGCAAGCAATTTTGCGTTTAAAAGACATCTATTAGACGTCAAGTCAAGTCACCTTTATTTATATAGCGCGTTTAACAATACAGATTGTGTCAAAGCAACTGAACAGCATTAATTAGGAAAATAGTGTGTCAATAATGCAAAAATGACAATAGTAAACACTAATTTTTCAGTTAAGGCAGTTCATCATTGAATTCAGTGATGTCATCATCAGTTCAGTTTAAATAGTATCTTTGCAATAATTTGCAATCAAGTCAACGATATCGCTGGAAATAAAGTGTCCCCAACTAAGCAAGCCAGAGGCGACAGCGGCAAGGAACCAAAACTCTTTGCCAAAAAACGACATGAAACCAAATTCAAGGTTTTTTGGGTTAGAAGTGGGTTACACATAGCCGGACTATATCGGGTCTATACTTAACCGAGACGTTGAAATGACGGCTATTGCTTGCTGGGTAATATGTTGATTAGCTGCTCAAGAAACAGTTCTGATTTTTATCAATGTTGAAAACAGTTGTGCTGTGGAAACTGTGATACATTTTATTTTTCAGGATTTTTGATGAATCTAAAGTTCAGAAGAACAGCATGTATTTAAAATAGAAATCTTTTGTAACATTATAATGCCTCCTCGATGAATAAAAGTGTCAATTCCTTTCAAAAACAAGCAAACAAACCCCAAACTTTTGGATATATTGACGAGGTTGATGAAAATAATAAAGTACTATAGCTACTATATCTGTGATAATCTCTCGTTCTTCAGTCATGTTCTTGTGTTTGTGCGTTTGGTTGTCGATGTCTTTATTAATCCTGCAGCTCCCGCATCTCTTGTTTTCATCAGAATATTAATATTTGATCTTTAATCGCATAAAAGATGCAGAAACAAACAAAATGCAGAGACACCACACTCGCACTGAATAAAAGACAAGAGTCTCTGCTGAATTTCACAGTTTTATTCTTCATGAAAAATGCAGCTGTCTTTGAATGTTTTGTTCTCACAAATGTGCATCTTCACAGTTTGAAATGTTTCCCACTACACTTCTGTTTTTCAAGTATTATTGTCAAAGCTATAAAACGGCCAAAAATCCCATCATTCCTTCTGAAAAGGGAAAAAAATAAGTCTGACGCCGCACACACA